CTGCTCCTTTATTCTAGTCTCCATCAATAGTTGATATACATGTAGGGAAATTGAGAAGGGCACACAAATGTTCACAGGGATCATATGTGAGTGTCACATGGATGGCATTGGTAAGTGTGGTAAGTGTTCCAGGCGTTGGGGAGAACCTGTTTTGCAGAGGTAACCAGGGAAGCATCAAGCATGGGTAGGCTTTTGCTTGGCGGGCATGGAATGAGTCTTTATAATATCCTGCACCGAGACACAGGAGTCTCAAGATCCAAGATTGGGAGAATATTCATCTTTATGCCCTCTTAACACCATTAATATTATTAAGATCTGATTTCATTCATCTTGACCCCAAAGCCTATAAACTTGTTATGTCTGACTAGATTTCTTTTAATCTATTTCATACTTCTGTCCAAGTGGACCATCAGTTTGAAAGTTTGTAGTTTAGATTTAAAGTTTCATTACACTTGAACACTTTGGATTGCCCCTAATTCTTCATTCTGTGGCTTTTCCTTGGAATCTTTTACATAAAATATTGGGACTCAGTCAACCCACCCCACTGCACAACTATATCTCTTCTACGTACCACCTGTCCCCCAAAGAGTCCATCTTTTAGGGTTGTTATTGTTAGGTGCCACTGAGTCACTTTTAACTCAAAGCTGCCCTAGGTGCAACTGAACAAAACACTGCCTTGTTCTGTACCATCCTCACAATCATTGCCATGCTTTAGGGTAGTGCGTTCTAAAGAACAAATACAGGGCTCTGGTAACAAGGCTTCTATGGGGAAAACAGAAGGGCCACACACAGACAAATCATGTGTTCTTGCTCTAGCCTGTCACAGGGAGTGGTGAGTGTGTTTAGCACAAACGGTATCCACACAACAAGTTATATACATGGGAACAGTCATGCTTGTTCTGTTGCATTATGAAGGCGCTGCTAAAGCCTCAAACTGACCCACCAAGGCAGTGTCAGCTGGACAAACAGATTAACCTTTTTAGAAAATAGTTTTGCCAGAGCCATCAAGAACCATGAAAATATTCATACTTGTTGACCCAATAATTCCACTTCTTGAAACTTTTTTTTTAACTCTTCATTGTGATTTGGTGAAAGTTTAAGAAAAATTTGTTTTCCACTCAACAGTTTATACACATTGTTTCATGATATTGAAATCCCCACAGTGTAACAGGCTTTCTTCTCACTTCCTCCCTGTGGTTGCCTTTTCTCTGTGTGCCACTTCCAGAAACTTTTTCTGAAAATGTAATTAGAGATGTGATTTTAAAAAACTTATTTATAATAATAGTAATCCCAACATGAAACAATCTAAGTGTTCATCATATGGGAATGATTAAATAATTATGACAAATCTTCGCAATGAAATAATTATTGAAAATAGCCTTTCAAAGAACAATTAATGGCATAATGATCAAAATATAAAGTGAAGTGGAAAAGGCAAATTATGATATGATTCCAAATTTAAATATGATATATTAATATGCACATATTGTTTTAAATCTATATATAAATAGCAAAATATTAACAGCCACATACCCTAAAGCAATAAAGTATTTAGGGGGAAAAATATAGTATCTTCATGAAGCCACTTTGTCATTTTTTTTAAACCTTAGGAACTTAGAAGCTGTCTGTTAATGGCATCTTCTGCCCAGATGATATGTCCATTGTTTCTCCTTGTCATAGTGTAACCCAAAAATTGATGGGGTTCATGCCCTGGAGCAACGCAGCCAATAGTCCACACCAGAGTTCAAGAAGTCAAAAAATTTAATTGGGAAGTGCAACACTGAGAGATGGGCAGAGTCTTAATGATTCCAAAGTCATTTGCTCTGTGGAGTGTTTCCAAAGATGGGTTCATAGACTAATCAAGGAGTGGGATACAGCACATACACAAAGTAATTAACGTTTCTTCAAAATCAGATAAAATAATAGGTGGTTGGTGGAGAGTGTCCTCTGTAGATTCCTGGCACACCGTACTAGGCTGGTCATCTTATTGGTGATGGCACCACTGATTACTGTCATCAAAATCCAGGTGGCCAGTCACTAGGCTCATCAATGTGTCCTGACATAGGTGATCTTATCTTAGAGGACACAGCCAGAACCAATGGTTATTGTTCAGAGGAAAACAAATTAATAAATAGTATAGAGGTAGAACTAAAGTCAAGATGGAGTCTTATTCTAACAGTATGGACTTGGGCCTCACAAAGCCAAAATCTTTATCCTCACAGCAGGCACAGCTCTCACGCTTCTCTGCATTCACCTTTATTTACATCATTCATATAGTCTAAAATTAAAATTCATAGTGTACACTTTTATCAGGATTTAGTTTGGCTATGTGTAATTAGAAACTCAAATAACAGTAGTTTTAAAAGACAGGTAGGTTGTTTTTTTTTCCCTTCACCTCACATAAAGGAAAAGTAGAGGTAAGCTGTCCAAGGCCCTATGGTGGCTTGTGGCTCACATACATTCTTTCTGCACCACCCTCTCCTTCCTTAGTGTGTGGCTCCCATCATCAAAAGTGCCTCACAGTGCTAGGTGGCTGTGTTCCATCCATCAAGTTTATATTCTAGGCTGAATGGAGACAGAGAGGGGGGAGGCAGTAGAATGCACCCCAACTAAAGCAACCCCCTTTAAAGAACTTTCCCAGAAACTCCACCCCATGGTGTCTGCTGACACCCCATAGCCTCCAGTAGCTACAAGGGAGGCTGGGCAACGTCGTTTCTTAACTTCACATATCACCACTTGGCAAAGACAAAGGAGAGATGGAGATTGAGTAGGCTACTAGCTATCTCTTTGACAATTCTGTAATGTGGTTAACTCCAATTTTAGTAAGTATGCTTTTAAATCTCTTCATGCTTTCTGTGAAAGCTGTGTGTACAGCTGTGTTACTGTGACATGTGATTAATGTTATAAAGAAATGAGCATGGCTAGGGAACCGGTAGAGGAGCACCAGACAGAGGTGAGAAGATAGAGGGTCACGTCCTTGCTTCTATATGGATTGGCTTCTCTGAGCCTCCATCCCTCTCCAAAAAATGAAGGCAGTGATTCTTACAGTATCTACATGAGTCTGTCTTGGTCTTACTATAGTTCGGATTCCCCTCCTATACATCACCCAAGTATTCTCCGACCGGCTCCCTCTATACCTTCTGCTACCTCCTTAGTTCAAGCCAGAATCACCGCTCATCAGGGCTGTGGGTAGCCTCTTCACCAGGATCTTTGGCTACAGTCTCTCCACCCTTTTAGTCACCTCCACAGTGCAATAAAGGGATGCTTTGTAAGCACAGATATGATATCCTAGTCCCCTATTTTCATGTCCCTCAGAATAAGTCTGGCATCCAAAATCTGGCCCTAACCTACTTCTGCTTTACGGCTTTCCTCCTCATCAACACTCAGCCCCAGGCTGTCTTTGACATTCCTCATAGGTCCACAAGATCCAGTGGGCTTGCACCAATTACCATTCCCTCCACTTGGGTGTGTTCACTCACCTCTGGCTCCAGTGTGTCTGCCTGTGACTCCTGAGGCCTCACTAAAAAGCCATCTCCCAAGAGTCTCCCTCAGTACCCCCCTGGGTCAGCCTCTCCTTTCTATCCCTGCAGACTGTGCACCTCCCTCTTTTCTAGATGTGTCCTGTCTCTGCCCTCATGGACTCCGTGCTTCCTCAGGTCAGGGAGCATGTCTTACTCTGAGTTTCACCACAACAAAGGCTCTGGTGCAGAAGATGCTCCCTGTCTGTCTGCTGAGTGGCTGAGGGCTGTAGTAGAGCTTTCTGGGTCCTTGATTCCACAGATTTCTGCCAGCAGCCCAGCAAATTGTTGAGCACCACTGTCTGCTAGACTGTGGTGGGCCCCAGAGACATGCATAGCCCTCACCACTTCCTCTGAGGAACTCCCAGAGCAGAAGGCGCCATGGAGGAGGAAAAAGACCTGACCTTTTGTTCCCCTCTCTCTGACAGGCTGTAATGTAAGCCATACCCAGGGTTAGCAGCCTCAGGGATGGGGCCGGCTGCTGAATTCCCATCTGGCTGTTTCTTGGAGATAGTCAACGGCTAGAAGGAATGTGAAAACCATTGGCCACTCCAACTGCTGCAACCTGTTTGTCTTCCCCTCTTCCTCTACAGTGCTGACACTTGGCCAGAGTCAAATGCATGCTATTCCCTCCACCTGGAACATTTCCTGTGCTTCTCCTGATTGACTAATTCAATCTTTTTTCATCTTTTAGGGCTCTGCTGAAATGACACTTTTCAGGGAAGCTTTCTTTGACCCCTCCTCCCAACCTAACCAGTAACCATCATGACTCTACATATGTCAGAGTGGAACTGTGCTGCATAGAGTTTTCAGTGGCTAATTTTTCAGTAGATTGCCAGGCCTTTCTTCCAAAGCACCTCTGGGTAGACTTGAACTTCCAGCCTTTCAGTTAGCACTGAGCCATTTGCTACCCCCAGGAACTCCCTGGGCTCTAACAGAGACACTTGAAAGGGAAGACCAGCTGGGAGGCTGGTCCCCTCAGGTGGGACAGGCCACTGAGCATTGTTTCTTTACCCTAACACAACACCTTCTCTACCCCAACACAGACAGACAGTGCACATTTCTGTTTGTGCAGAACGACTTTCCTCGTGGAAGGACTCAGTTATGGAGAAAAGAAGTCATGTTAGGCATTTCTGCACCCACGTCTGGATGGCTCTGCTCTACTGGAAGCCAGGAGACAGATGGAGGGCCTCAGAGCTCACAGTACAGCCTAGAGAGCAAGGCTGGGCCAGACACAGGGTCAGCAACAGGAGGATATGTGGACCTCAGCCTTCTTACTGCAGGAAAAATGAGGATTCAATGGTGCAGGGAATAAGAAAAGGCAATCTGAGGAATTAACTATAGCCCAACATGCAGTTTCCAGAAGGGACTAGGCTGGTCATGCCAGGCTTTTGTGTTGTAAAAGTTATAAATGCCCTTTCAGACCTTCCATATCTGAAGAGAGGCCCACAGTCTTGATCTGTGTCATGTTTTTGCCCCCAGGTCCACATCAGCCAACTGTATTCCACGGACAAGCTTATCATTGAGAACCAGGAGAAGCCCCGGACCTAGGGAGCCTGGGCCAGCCCACTGGCAGCTGTGGACCACCTTCAGCATCCATTCTGCACATGCGGTGGGACCCCGCATACCATGCGTGGCCTCATATACCAACTGGAAGCAGCCTCTTGCTCTGCCTGCCCTATAGGAGCCAATGATGGAGCAACCTTCCCATTCTTTTACAGTCTTAGTGAAAAGGCTGGCTGTTTCTGCCTGGTTCATATGCTAGAATGTAGAACTGGAGCTTACATGAAGTATTACGCTATGTGTTATTGTGTCTCCTCCCCACCCCATCCCTATTTTGTAGCTTATCCCCCCCTTGCATAAAGCATTTCCAGCCTGTGTTTCTTGGTCCTTGAACAATAAACAAAATTGTCTCCCTAAGCCTTTTACCATTGGTGGTTCAGTGGTACAATTCTCATTGTCCATGCAGAAGACCCAGGTTCAATTCCCTGCCAATGTATCTTTTGCAAAGCCACCACCCATCTGTTAGTGGAGGCTTGTATGTTGCTATGATGCTGAACATGTTTCAGTGAAGCTTCCAGACTAAGGCAGACTAGGGAGAAAAGCCTGGAGATCTACTATTGAAAATCAGCAGATGAAAACGCTATGATCCACAACTAATCATGAAGACTGGGCAGCATTTCATTTCATTTTGCATTGGGCCTCCATGAGTTGGCCGACTTGACAGCAGCTAACAATATCAAGCATTTTACACCAGATAGACTCATCACCATTAGTGCACTTTCACTTCCTGCTAATGCACAGCCTACAGTGGATGATAAGGACACCCACAGGTGGGAGACAAGGGAGGTCCATCCCCACATTTGTGTTCTCCCCTTGTGAAGAACAAATCCAACCACCAGGCAAGATGTGAGGGGTGGCAGGGAGTAAGATAGGACTGAAGGAGTAGAGGGTATACCATGGAGACCTGACTACAGCAATTTATCTCTGGGCCCAACACAACCACAAGGGCAGCAGGATCCACCTTAGAGTAGAATGCTTTACAACCTGCCACTCAGAGTGTGGGCTGTGAATCAGCCCATTGGGAAGTGGGTTGGAAAGGCAGAATCCCAAGCCCTGTAAACCAAAATCTGCATTCGAACACAGTCCCCAGGTGACCCCTGTGCACATTAAACTGTGCTGCCCTCAATACTGTTGCCCAAGTCTGGCCAGTAGTCAAGCTCACCTGAAAAGTCTGAAAGTTTTTCAAAAGGTAAATTTCTTAGTGCCTCTCTTCCTCCCTCCCTGCAGATTCTGAGTCAGTTAAGTGAGAAAGGACACACAATAATGGACATAATGTTTAAAGCACACCCCATGTTTTTAATATTTGCCAATTTGAGGAACCTGTGCTCTTTGAGTGTGTTACAGATGATAAAGATATTGTCTGTATGCCCTTATCCTTGAGAATACATTAATTCAAAGCATATAGAAAGAACTTATTAAAAAACTTGACTCCAGGGAGTTTATGAGGTGCTCAGACACCATCAGAATGCTCTCACTTCCTGTTGGATACAGGACTGAGTGAATTCAACATTTATGTGGTTAGGATTGGAACAATATTTACATTGTTACCAACCTGCCAGTGGACCTGGTCATTTTAATTGTCATAGTCACGTGAGTTGAGCTGGGGCAGTGTAGTCCACAGTTGTTTTCATCTTTGTGTTAAAAGGTTGTGCTAATCCTAGTTTGTTGCATAGTACTTGGGATCTTAAAAGCTTGCACGTGGCCATCCAAGGCACAATGATTAGTCTCTATTCACCTGGAGCAACAGAGGAAGGAGAGTCAGGAATAGGAGGAGGATATGGAATGGTGTAGCTAATTGCCTCCATGAACAACTACCTCCTTTCCATGAGACCAGAAGAACTGGATGGTGCCTGGCTACCATTACTGAACATTTTTACCAAAGATTCCATAGACAAATCCTGATCAAAAAGGAATAAATGCACAACAGAATTTCAAATTCTAATGGATTCAAGACTATCTGGAGCCATAGAGGGTAGATGAACCCCTGAAACTATTGCCCAGAGATACTCTTTAAACTTTAAACCAAAATGTCCCCTAAAGTCTTAAAACCAAACAATAGGCTAGCTTAACTAGTTTTAAATGTCTGCCTTGAGCATTATGCTCATTTAAGAACTACCTATGGGATGAAATGAATAATAGCAAATTGAAAGATAAGAACCTTAAGGGAGCAGTGAATTTATGTTAATGAGGGAGGAACAACTCAGAAAAAGAGATTGAGAATGGTTGCACAATTCAAAGAATGTAATCAGTGTCACTAAATTGTACATGTAGAAACTGTTGAATTGGTCTGTTTTGCTGTATATATTTTCAACAATGAAATAAAATTTAGGAAAGAAAAAGATTGTGTTGGCCCAGCTTATCTACACAGTATAGATTTTGTTGTAACAGTGCATACAAAATAGATTAAATGTGTAGTCATCCTGCTTGGCAGTACAGTCTTTGGTTTCACAATCAAGCATGGGGAACCTGCAAGGTGAATACAGTTCTTAGTGAGTCCAGGATCTATTATATCTCTAAACAGTGCACTCACAGCCGTGGGAGTCGTGATGTCAGGAGGCCCACTCAGAGTGAAGGGATAGGAGGTAAGGTGGGAATGCGACCTCTCAGTGAGTTAACAGTCATGGGGCAGTCACACAAGTACACGTCCAGTCCGGGTCTATATGGCTCTGTTCCACCTCCACTCTGCGTCAGGAGAGGATGTGGTATTTCAGCAATGACACACTGGCAAAGATGCTCATGGGTGTCATCCTGATTTATCCTCAGTTAATTCAAGCAGCTGTTGTTTGGAGACCTGTGCCCAGGTTTGAACCTTTCCCTAAAAGTGTCAAATTGCTAGCAGGCTAACTACTCTATGGGAGACTTGTCCCCAGATTTCAGTCACAGAGAGAGGACACCAGGCAAACTTAGTTGCTCTGCCGGCCTTTAACAGCAGATTGCTTTCATGGCAATTAGACCACTACATGGATGTGTTTGGCTGTGTCCAGTCTTGATAATACAGAGCTAATTTTCACAGCTCAGATAAAATTAGAACTGCATTTTGAATCTGTGAAAAGATAGTAGAATTCTGTGAAGTTTAAAAAAAAAAAAAATACAGAGGGTGAGTCATGATCATCCCTCAAATTCCAGGTGCAGGTATGGCAGGCAGAGCCTTGATTTGGGTATTCTCTAAATCAGAGGACCCAAGATTTACTAGAGCACTGAATAAAACAGCTTCAAATGGGGACAATCCTTTGTGTTGCTACAGCAAAGGATACCATTTGCTGCAAGGCACCAACTGAGGGATTTTTGAAAGTTAATAGGACTTTCACCATCCTTCACTGCCAGCCTTAGGACTGTCTGGTATGGGTGACCATTCTGAAAATGGGATTCAGACTGAGGTCTAGTGATAACTTTTCAGTGTAACAGCAAATGAGAAATATGTCATAAGTTAACATCTGCTGAGACAACCATTTACTAAGCATGGCTGTTTCCTAGACCTAGAAAGATACTTGATTCATCTGTCTATAATGCTTTAGTTCCAGTCTAGCAATTTTTCTTTGAATTATAGAATTGAAAGATTATAATAGAATCTAAGTATATTGCTTTATGTATACTTTGCCCTGCTACTAAGTAGCAGTTTCTTTAACTCACCTTATCCATAGCCTCAGTCAAAATCTCAAGCCCCTCAATAGAACTAGCAGTCCAATTCAACACCCACAAAAATCTAGGAGAAAGAGGATAGGCTGGAGAGGAAGTCTATAGGGATGACATACATTAGAGCTTACATGGTCCAGCTTCCAAACCTGTAAGTGTGAAAACCAACGTCTAGAGCATCACCAAATCATTTGCAGATCCACAGTCTTTACATAACACCCCTTTCCCTCATCTTTCAATTCGGTAATTCAGCTTTGACCAAGAGCCAGTTAGTGCCAGGTGTCAGGGAGACACCAGTAAACAAGACACAGCCCTTGACCTCACAGAGCTTGCAGTCTAGCAGGAGAATTAAATAAAACTAAAGATTGGATGAACATGACAAAGGATGAAACATAGGTACTGTAGGAGCTGATGGAAAAGATCAGTAAAGGACTCCCTGATGAAGGAACTTTTAATCTTAAGAATATGGTATTTATCCCAGGAATGCAAGGTTGGTTTAACTCTTTAGAATCAATTAATACACAACGGTAGTAGAATAGCTAAAAACAATGTGATCATCTCAGTAGATGCAGAAAAAAATTATTTGACAAAATTCAACACCTTTCATGATGAAATCACTCAACAAACTAGGAATAGAAAGGAACATCTTTAAACTGATAAAAAGAGCATCTACCAAAAAAAAAAAAAAAAAATACTTAGCATCATATTTCCCTTGAAAGGGCATCATACTCAATAAAATAAAAGTCCAACAAAAGCAAGGGAACCCCTCAGTGATATGGATTGACACAATAGCTGCAACAATGGACTCGAGCATACCTGTGGTCATGAAGATGGTGCAGGATCATCAAAGTTAGTTCTGTTATACATGAGATCCCCATGAGTCAGACTGGCTCAATGGCAACAACAACATCATATTTACCAGTGAAAGGTTGGATGCTTTCCTCCTAAGTCCAAGAACATGACAAGGATGCTCACTCTCATCATTTCCTATTCAACACTGTGCTAGAAGTTTCAACCAAAGCAATTAGGAAAGAAAAAGAATAAAAGGTATCCAGATTGAAAGGAAGAAGTAAAACTATCTCTATTTACAAATGACATAATCATGTATACAGAAAATCCTAAAGGATCAACTGGGGGAAAAAAAAAGACACAAGCTCAATATACAAAAATCAATATTTCTGTACATTGATAGTGAACAATCTGAAAATGAGGTTAAGAAACGATTTTATTAGCATCAAAAATAACATATTTCAGAATAAATATAACAAGAGATGTGCTGATAACTATCAAATCCTGTTTAAAGACTCTAAAGAAGATACAAGTAAATGGGAAAACCTTCCATGTTTTTGGATCCA